TCCATTCATTTTTTCCTAAAACATAAAAGGAGAAATCGAATTGAGAAGAAAAAGAGAGGAGAGAGGAAAGAGAAATTAGAGCTAGAGATTGTAGAGCCATTTTTGTTAGTTAATCCAGTTAGAAAAATTATTCCAATCGAGGTAGGATACATTTTTCCTATTTTAGTTTTCAATAATTCGGTGTTTTGGTGATTTTTTTGATCGAATTTATAATTTAGTTTTACAAAAACGCAATTTTATAGGATTCTGGTAACTTTCATCCTTGTAACTTTTGATATAATGTTGTTACGACTGTTCTGGTCGTTTTGAGTTTTATTCGAGATTTTTTACAGGATGAGTTTGAAAAAACATCAATTTTTATCAATTCAGAAATTTATTTTGACATCTAAAAGTGATGTTTTAGCTCAGTTAAAGTTTCAGAACATTGTTATACACAATATCTGATAATGTGGTAGAATTTTGAAAACTTAGTTTCGACAAACTATAGAACATCGGGTGAGAAATTATTGGACAGTTTTTAGAGCATTTTTGTAAAATTATACAATAATACTGTGATTGCTTCAATAGTGCAAAAAGTACTTTATATTCAAAATCTATGATTGAAATATTTGAATTGGCGGAGAGAAGGAATTATGTTAATGGTGAAAAGAGATTATGCTATCTGTTACATATTGAAAATTCTAGAGCCTGGGGGCTATATTTATTAAGGGATTTTGTTGGCGGCGAGAAAAGATTTTGTTCATGGCTAGAAGGGTTTTGTTGGCAGCGAGAAGAGATTATGTTGGCAACGAGAAGAGATTCTATTATTTATTATATATGAAAAAATATGGGCCTGAGAGCCATTCTAATAATTAGTATGAAATATTTCTTTATATTCCAGTCAATCTCTGTACCAGTTTCAACATTTATTTAAATGCTTATTAAAAATTCAATATTAGTATATGTTTCAATTTTAGCTTTTTCTATAGTATTTCGATTTATTATTTCAATATTTTCAATTCTTTTTATTGGGTTTATTGATTCATGTTTTAGGTTATGATAGCCTACTAAGTTGTGCTTGCTCATTATTGTTTTTGCTTCAATTTTCAGGTCAAGGAAAGGATAAGGAGCAAGCATAGTAGTGTTGATATCAAGCTTTGATCTGTGCTATATGTATGCTTTTTTGGCTAGTTTTATTTTTGTTGTCTTCAATTTTATTTTTTTGTTGTATTTTTTATTGTCAAGTCCTAATATAGATAGACCTCAAATTGTACATGTATTTTTTAATGATATATAGCAAAATCATTTTTAAGATTTACCTTCCACTTTATATTGTATTTAGTAGTGGCTCTATATTGTATAAATTAAAAGATTAGTTTTTCTCATCACTTCTTCAACTTGATATTGGGAACAGTTTCTATTTCTTGTCACGATCGAGCACAAGTATGATCTGTGTGATATCAGGTCATATCGAGTCTGATTGTGACATCGATGGCTTTGTTTGGAGAGTAGATGTATAGATTTGTCCTATATTTTGAAAGGTATATGAAAACCTTAAAAGACTTGGTTAGAAAGTATTAAAAATAACATTTTTATTAAATTTAAATGATAATTTAATTCTTAATCGGACACAATGGAGAAAAAATATTCATGTAGCCAACCCAACGTAATGGGATAAAGGCTTGTTGTTTTCGTTGTTATTTCTTAAAGTATATATTCGCAATGAGAAATTAGAGACTATAGTCAAATCATATATTGCTTCATTGAGCATACATACTACTCCACAAATATCATAAATCCTTTTCTAATCCATCCTATTAAAGCTAGTATGTTTATTCAAATTACCTTTAAAAATATCACATGTATACTGTAGAAGTTCATTCATCTTTTCTCAAAATTGATCTCATAAACTATCGTCTAATTTAATTGAAGAATCATAAGAACTAACCACATTCACAATATCCTAGTCAATAATTATCTTATCAATAATCATTCTATCACTAACCTTATTCACATCAAAAAATTTATTCTTCAACTATGTATCCACTATAATACAACACCATTCATATTTCAAATATTTCTAACATACAATACCTAACATAGCATCCTTGATGCATTAAGTTTTTTTCCTTTCCATTTATCTTCAAATAAACAAGTAATATAACTTCTTATTTTAATCATTATGACAACCAATTCTCTTGTATTCTCATTTAAAGAATTAGATAGCATGAAAAAAAATCTAATTTTAAATTTAGATGTAGTCAAACATTGCTTACTTCTCATCACAATTGGATTATGTTGTGTGTGCCACTTAGCAATGATGTGCAAGCCCACCCTTATCTAATTTGTATAATAATTAGGTTAAGTTGTAACACATTAATTGGGGTAATATTCTAAAAATCTCTTACATAATTTTCATCTTAACCAGGTTAGATTGTATCTCGACACTTCTTGGTAACACCCTAGCACTGTCGAAATTCAAATTTTGATTCGTTTCATTAGTTATGAAGTGAGTCTTAGGGCTAGTTATCTATCAACCCCAAATAGGAGGGAGATTTAGAGACTTAAGATGCTTTGGTAAATTTCATGTTGTAAACTCAAATGAATTAGACGGATTCTTATTTCAAATAAGTTGAAAAATAAGTAATAAATGCATGAAAAAATATTCACTTTCAGAATAAAAATATAAACAATTCTTATCGATATAATATACTCAAAGCATGTGTAAGCAGGTGCTTACAAATGCATCCACAACCACAATTGCCAGAAACTTGAATCATTATCCAAAATATTTGAATCATTGAATGGTATTTCATGTATTTAATGTAAGATATACATGGTATTTGAACCACAATATTGCAATTTTCTATTTCTATATCAAATATTTACCTCATTAAAATTCAAATCAACTATGATGATTGAATAAAATGTATTAACAAAAAACTTGTACAAACACATTACTCTTTCAACACAAAAGGATTTTAGTTTATCCCTAAAATCATAGGGATTGATAAGTGGATGCATGCAAAACGCATTTGGACAATGATATATTAATGCAAGCTTTATACCTTTTTAAAAGTCAATTTAAGAGGTAACCAACAAGATATAAGAAAGTTACAATATAAGAATTGTCAAAAACTTCATCAAAGCCTTCACACATCATTGTTATACATCAGAACACAAAAATAATTGTTAAAATGGAAACTTAACCACCTTTGTTTTTTATGTAGGGCATGCTTTATAAATTACATTGATCGATAACATATCTACCTCAAAACTCAAAATATGCAATGTTGGCTAAGGTTCTAATGTCATTTAACAGAATCAATCCACTATGTGGTTTTCTTGAAGAGCAATTATTAACCAAAAAACGCAAGATCTGCAAATAGCCAGAAAAACCATGGTTTAAAAAAGCGTTTGAGGCATACGCCTTGAGGCGAAGCTTGGATGCCTCAAGGCTTAAGCCTTAGTGGTTTGGCCGAGGTTTATGATTTTCTTCAATGAGGCATACGCTTTGAGGTGTGATGCCTCGAGGCAATTTTAGGCACTACCTCGATCAATTTTATTTTATTTATAGTTCAGAAGAGTCGATAGCACTTATTACATTTAGGACTTCGTCGGTTCAAAACAATGGTCCAATCTTCTCCCCCCTTCTGCAGCTTGCAGGAAGGAAACACTCTCTCGGCTTCATGTGCATTGCTTCGGCCTTGCCTGCTTTGGCCTTGACTGCTTCAGCCTCACTTCGTTTCAAGACGAAGTAACGATCCATCTTCCCTTTCGAGCTCGTGTTGGCTTCGATAGCTTCGTGAGAAGTTATTATGAAATTTAAATCGTGCATTTCTTACACAAAGCATTTATGTTGAGGTTAGATCAGCTTAATTTATGTTTGTTAAAGTTTAACAATTTCATCTTACTCTATTGCTTTTTCTAGTTTATGTCAAGTATGATGTAATTACTAATTAGTTAGTCGCCACAAATAATGCTTTTCATAGTTTTTAAGCACCGAGGTATAAATTATATTTTCTATAGCTTTCTTCTTCACAAATACATAATTTTTAGTTGCCATGCCTCTTTAATTACAATGACGCATTTTTTAATGAATTCCACCATGAATAATTCTTTTTCATTTGAATCGTATTTGCTAAAACTTTCCCTTTTTTAAATTTATATGATTGAATTAACTTCATATCAAAATCGTTTTTTGAATTTATATGATTGAATCGTATAGAGGCATCATTTAAACTGTCTAAAATTGGGTTGATGGAGAAAATAGTAATTTTTGTGCGTATTTATTTTGAATATTGTGTTCAAGTAACATTAATCTTCAAACAAGTCATGAGGTTCATAATTTAATTAATATTTTAACATTTTATGAGTTATTTATAACTTTTTTAGTACTTCAATTTTTTTTGTTTTGAGGCTTACGCCTCGATCTGCCTCAAGGCTTATGCCTTAATCTAATATCTCTACTCTCCTAACCGGGTCATCGCAAGGCCGCCGTTTTATGTGACCAAACCATCTAAGGCAAAACCTTGAGAATAGCAAATGATAAAAATACCTCATGAATGAGGTAGTGGGCATTTATAACAGCTACTCTAATTAGTCTCTGGTATCATTTCAACAGCATCTTATGATGCATGTAAACAGACTGGACATTCTAGCATTGCAAGGGTATTTCCAGCCATTGAAAGAGATTGCTAGCTTAAGCTTCTATATGCTATTCTGTTTAAATAACCCCAAGAATCTTCATAACAATTGAAACATCTTTAAGGAAATACTTTTTAATCCATTCATATCTAAATATTTACCTAATATATGAAATGACAGAATTTTATGTCCATCAATCTGCAAATACCCCTTATAACCCTATATTATTTCAGCTCATCAAGAACGTGTTTAAGCCTAAACACGTACTTTAAAAAGCTACAGAATTTCGTGTAGATCAAGGGAAATTCACTAAAAGATGCAAATCAAATGGATAACAATCCCAAACTGAAATAGGATGCATAAGTAAAACTCACCTTTTTCATTGACAAATACATGGCCATCAAAGAACTCGGCAAACTCAAAGACATCTTCAGGGTTCTTGAAATCAATGTAAGCTCGTGAATATCGCGGATTCTTTTGGCTGCATTCAACATTGCAGGCATTATAACACAATATCAACGGAAATTAAAAAAATATATATATCAAATGAAATTGTACTCCTGAATAAGAAAAGAAAAATAGGAAGCAATACCTAATGAACTAGGTCTCCTTAATGATCGTTATCGGGAAAAAAAAAAAGAGTAAAATTTATTTCTTTTCTTTTTTCCACAAGCGCATAATTTAAAAATAAAATCCTAACCTGTTTTTCCCCGGCCGGAAGCATAACCATTTGTACCTGCCGGCAAACTTTCCGTCGATCTGCTCCATGAGAGCCGGCTCAGTGAGCGACGACGGCAAGTGCCGCAGCACGACCTTCGTCCTCTCCAGCGGATCCTTCATCTCACATGAATCTAAGCAAGAATACACGAGAAAGAAAACCACATAAGGGCAACGGCGAACCGCTTCCCTCGCCGGAATCAAATCTCTTCCAGGGCTCGGTATCGCAGGATTTCAGCCAAAATCGGGTACCGTTTTTGCACAATTAGGGCTTAAATCCGCTGGTCCAAGCAAAAACGAAGCAGTCTGAGATTAGTAGGGGGAGAAATCGACCCAAAGAGGACTAATATTGAAAATTTTCCGCACCCAGCCAGTCGCGTATATATGGCATAGCCTTGACGCCCACGCACGTGTCGCAGCCCGCAAGCTACCGCTCCATACGAGAGAAAACCGTGGATTTCACGAGTTCAAGGCGGTCATGGGCCTCATGGCCCCTTTAGAAGCCATTAAATTGTTTGAAATTAATAATAATAAATAATATTTTTTACTAAATTCCTTTGATTGATCCATTGAGAAAATTATTTTTACTCTTAAAATATCTTTATATTTATATTTATGCTCATGTAAAAAATAAAATTAAAATAATTACTTTTAAAATATGATGTAAGGAGCAACCAAATATATATATATATTAGCAATTAATTATTATTAATTAAATCTAAAATTTTCCTAAATTCCGAATAGGTGTTTTCGTTTGGTGTAAAGGTAGAGGAGCTGTAATTAAAAGACAGTTTTAAAAAATATTAGTTCAAAAAATAGAGTTTTCTAACAGAGAAGCATATATAAAAAGCTTTCTCAAAATTGCAGAAAAATGAAAAAAAAAATTATTGGGAACGTCATTTGACAAACCAAACAATACAAAAAAAATTCTCCATTTCCAAACTGAAAAGGTAAAAAAACACTCAAACAAACAAAGCCTAAGTGAGCCTTATCTATTTATTATTCTATTCATAATGCATGCAAGCTAGTGGATTTTTTTCATGCAAACAGAAGCGGATTCCCTGTGTAGAAATTCCGAATAGCAGCGATTATTGAAGTTCGGGTAAGTAAAACTATGATTAATTTCAGCATGTGAATTAAGAAATTTTTTTAAGTATATTAATAAGATTGGCTGATTTCCACAGCAAGATTTGAGAGTGGAATTGCAATAAATAAATCCTATTAAATAGAACAAAAGCAATTTGATTTTCTTTAATTGTTTTATAGAATTTTAAATGGTAGTAAAGTTCCTAAAGAAGACGACACCAATTGTAGGAATTGTTTAGTATATGTAGAGGGGAAGTTTTGAGATAAATTATAAAAAGAGAAGAGTGTGAAGTGGGGAATTAAGAAGGCAAATCGTCAAAGAAGTAATTAATGCAAATTTTTAATTAAAGAGTATTTATTATCATTGTAAACATGTATATTGATTTTGAATGACAATTTAGAAAGATAATCATTAAAGGAGATGATTTTATATTATGCATATTAACCGTTAATTATTCATATTTGAACAACCACTTGCAAATTTGAATGAATCAAATTTAGAATCAAGTGTAATATGAATGCTTAAAGATTTTTTCAGTTGAGAATATTTTGCCAAAAAGTAATATTATGTACAAATTACATACCCATGATCTTCATGCAGATAGTATAACTGTAATGTTGTTATGGAAATTTACAACACTACAATACAAGTATGAACTATAAATGTGTGAAGTTTTAGAGATATCAATTTAGTAAAATTTGACAATAAAAGAGTCAAAATGATGGATTCGAACCAAATCCGCTAGCAACCCGGATGATCAAAACCAGACTCAATAACATGTTTTAATTAAAAAATATATAATTTGTTAACTATATAGTTTAAGTAAATTTATCAAAAAAAAAGGATATTATACCAACAAGCAAAAAAAAGAGGGAAAAAATAAATATTATTTCAGGTCAAAATCAAGTTTGCGAGTCAACACGAATTCGACTTATTTTTTTAAACAGATCAATCCGAGCTTGAAATTTTTAGGTAGGATTGGCGGGTTCACCAATTTTTTTGGCACCTCTAACAGTGAGTCTATCATATATCTGATTAGAATATATTTTGATGTACATAGTATTTTTGCAAATAGCGCATTATAGAAAAAAATCGTAATCAAGAAGTAATCATATGGTCTAGCATCTTATTACAATAAAATTTATACAAATTATAATCAATTTATGAAATTTAAGTTTTTGAGATATAAAAGCATAAACATACAATGTATTCGATAACAAATATTTCTTAACAAATAATTTAATTACTAACAAAAATATATTTTTCCACATGAATTAGATTATATAAAGGCATACATGAATTTGTTAACAATTAATTTTCGCAAATAATTTAATTATTAACATATTTTTTTACCTGCATGAATTAAATCATATCAGATTTAAAAATGAATATGATGAGAATTATTTTTCCTATATGCAATTTATGGTCCAATATATAATTTACTTACAAACTATTTTCTACAAATCTATTATTTGGATAATACATATCACTCTTATCTTAAAGGAAATTACATTTTCACTGCACTTATAAAAGATAATACAAGAAAGAAAATGTGAATGAAATTCTTACAAAATTCACCTTCCATTAAAAGAATATCATTGATTTGTGATGTGCAAACATATTGTAAAATTAGTTTATCTGATGCGAGGGATCGAAAATCGACGATCGTTTGTCAAATTTGGGATTCACCATCCTTGTTAAATCCACTGTAAAATTGTTTTATTGCATGAATACCACTAATCATTTTTTATAAGGGAGAAATTATTCTGTGCGGACACCGGACCGTCCGGAGGCGAGTCAGAACGCGTCACATCACTCAGTACACAGCCACGGTACACAACAAACGGGTGATGTGACACGTTCTGATTCGCCTCTGGACGGCATCCATATCAACACAGAATAATTTCGAGGGATTGGTGAGCGAGCGAAAATGACAAACATGTAAAAATGACACAAACTTGGGCAGAAAATAAAGGAGAGGCTCACATTGCATTTATATCTAAGGGATGACTGATCCAAACATTTTTAATGTCCTTATGACCCTTCTACATTGCCTCGTTTGTCATCTCAATGTCACATTACCTTCACCTATAAAAAGATAGAATTAATGCTGTAATATCTATCAATATCAAAGACTTAAAATATTCTAACATATTATTTCCCATAAACCAACTGATCGTCTAACTTAAATTTCAGAATACCAAAAGGAATAAAAATATACAGCAACACCACATATAGTTAATATAGCTGCACTCTTCCAAAAGAAGTTGGCGAGATTTTTGAGATGAGAATTTGGTCAGCCATCTTAAAAATTTGCAGGTTTTTCTCTCTCCGCCTCGGTAAATGCTGGGCATTCGGAAAGGCTTGCTCTGTTCATCTTCCTTCTGATTATAAGCGTCGAATTTGCGCGCCCGTCTCTATTCTCCGGGCTTTACCAGCTGAACAACTCAAGCCACCGAAAGTAGACAAATCCTTATTTTCTAAGGTAATCTTCCATGTCCGTAGTGCTTTGTTGTTTCTCCTGCTCTTGGGGTCTGTTCGATCTCTTATTGTCTATTTTTCCTTGAGCTATTCAGTGACATTGTTGTGATTGTTAACGACATTTTTTTCTTCTCTTTTCTGATTATTGTTAAGAAGATAATATGTTCTGGTTTATAGACAATAACCGTTCTTAGATTTTATCTTCAAGATTTTATGCAAAGGTCAATTTTGGTGGCTCTAATTTCAACTTCTTCAATAGAAGAAAAACTACTTATGAAGATTCTACCCAATGGTCTTTTTGTAGCCTGAATTTTTGTCTATTCACCAACAAAAACATTTACCAATCGGGGCTGAGAAGTTCTTGTCAATATAATTAGCCTAGTAATGTTGTCAAATGAACTTGTCAAGGGAACTCTCTTCATCCAGGCTACTTGCACTTAGTTGCATTTTCTTCGTTTGAGCAAAAACTATACTGTACAACTTAACAAATTCACGATCAATTCAAATGAGAATTCTTGTTTTTGCCTAGTACTTCTAGCAAATTTGGTTGTTAAGAAAGCAAGTATAGGACTAATGAAGTTGCCTTGTAGCAACCCCAAAGCAAAGATGCAGTGATTTCTTAAAGGATGGAAATAACTAAATAATAGAACTACGAAAAAGTACTAGCAAGAAAATACACACTAATAAATGAGTTTATCACCCGTAAATCCCAATGATATATCATTAAGTTTGCATGTTTAAGTTTGTGATATTATTGTAGCCTTAACTTTTAAGCCTAATCAATTCACTGATTTTTTTTTGTATTTTGTTTAGTTGCACATAATGGAGGTTGGTCTAACTAATGATTGGGAACTGACAACAGTAAGTAACGTTGTTAATATTGTCGTTGTTGGGAAGGCTGGAAATGGAAAGAGTGCAACGGGCAACAACATTCTTGGAAGGGAAGCCTTCTTTTCTAATCTTAGCCCTTCAGGAGTAACTTCTACTTCTGAACTACAAAGAACTGTTTTGAATGATGGCCGTATTGTTAATGTTATAGACACTCCAGGTAATGCTCATCTCTTTATTTATCTATGAATATTCATTAAGTTTAAGAAATGCATATGCATTTTCATATCTTTGATTTTATAATATTGTTTGTATTCTATCATAACTTAAATGCATAGATTATTTGACAATATTTAACTTATAGAAAAAATGAATTCAATGTGCATTGAAGTTTGTTTCTCATTTTTACAATGATTGTACCTTTCAGTCTAGTGCATGGGATAAAATTCTCGTGAATATATTGAAAATATATTGTGAGTAAGGCAAGATGAAAAAATTTGTGAGAATCTCAATTATTGAGAACTCTAAAATGGATGATGCTATGTATTATTGTAAACTCATAGTGTATTTCATTTGTTGGAGTGCACAATAAATGTTTAATTATATGTGTATTCAATACATAACAAGTACATGCTATGTACTCTTATAATCCCCCTTTAGAGCTACACATGTAATCAATACTTAATAAATTTCTCATGGTATTAGCAACTAAGGCTTCATTCGGGATGGCTTTCTTACTGCTTTTTAAAGTTGTTTTTTAGTATAAAACCTAAAAAATTTGTATGAGAAAGATGCTTTAAGAAGCAGTAAGAAAGCTATCTCAAATGAAGCCTGCCTATTATGGTTAAGTTTTGACGATTATATATTAGTAACATTTCATTTTGATGATCTACCTTATTGTTGCAGGTTGACCTACTTGTTTAGCCATAAGAAATAACCTACAACAACCAAAATTTTAATTTGCTTGATTTATCCATTTTTGCAAACTTTGCTTTAATATTTTTTGTGTGATGATAATTGATGTGTTCCTAAAAATAGCTCTGATTTATTCCAACAATTTGATTGATGACAATAAAGCTCATGCTACACTAATCTTTTCCCATTCCGAATTGAGCATGATGATAGTCCTTTAACTTCCACATATCATTATATCATGTCAAGATTTCTCTTATCTTAGATTGACTGCAATGAAGTACATTTAATATAAAATAAATTCATGATGCTAACATAAATTACACCCTCCATTAAGATTGTCATTGTCATCAATTTCAACCATCATTATAAATCCAATTGTCTGATTTATATATTTAACATCATCAAATTTTGGGCATAGAGGCTACATAGATTCTCCCATAAAAGCAAGGGGGCATAATAAATAGCACAATTTTCAAAGAAGATTATGCTTAGTTCTCCACAAATTAACCAAACAAAGGATTACACTACTCTCATACAAGTATCTTTTTTGTTCAATATAAATCTTAAATGTGACATAATTTATTTATTGAAGATATTACTTGTCAAAATATCCAAATGGGCAAATTGTTAACATAAGCATCTTTAGGAATGTAATAAGCTGATTAAACATGTTTTAAAAAAAAATTAAACTAGGCATAATTGACTGTTCAAGAGATGATCAGGTATGCACAAGAAAAATTCCCCGTTAAATGGGTAATTAGCTATGCATAAGAAAATCACCTGTTTAATAGGTGACTAGGTCCATTTACAACTTTTATTTGAAAACCGGTTCGAAGCCCTAAGACCTTCTTCCTCCATTCGTCTTCACCCGATTTCGACCGAAGTTCTGCGCCTGAATCGTCGGCTTAAAGTAAGTTTGGCCATTTTTTTAACTTTTTTTTTTTAATTTTTTATTTCATTTCCCTAATGCAAGCTTATATCAGACGAAAAGAAAAAAGAAGAAAAACACCATGTATAATTGTAGAATGAAGAGGTTTTTTTTGTTATATATTTTGTTTTGTGTGAAATTATTGGGTCTATGTTTTCCTACCGTGGAAGTTTTGGGTCATGCTTTAATGTTTGTTTTGGGTAATGCTTCAAGTTTTTTTCATTAAGGTAAAAAAAATATTTTTCAAAACAATAATAAGTAAATTAAATACAATATATTCAAAATAACTACTAAGCCTCATTTTAAATATAACATAACTATTAATAATAGATTTTATATGACTTCCTAAAAAAGTCAAAAAATTAATAGAAAACATTCAAATTTTTAAAAATAATGTATTTATTTACCAAATTTCTGCGAGTTCTTAACTTATTGCTTATAATGTTTTATTGAAAAAAATATATATTATTTCCAAGTTTTTAACTATTTTTTAAAAGTTATAACTATTAGATCAAGTTCTTAATTTTGTTAATATTTTTAATTAACTATATTATTCTTAAAAATGTTATAGACAAAATAGTAGACCTTCATATATTGTTATGGAAACAATATATTTGGCTCAGTAATTTATTTTAAAAGAATTTTTCTTTTAAAATTAGTAAATATTTATTTTGAATTGGCAATTTCCTTTTGTTTAACTGGATTGAAATTTTCGTACGAACTCTTTTAATTTACTGTTTATTTTAGTATACATTTATTTAAAATTTTAATATAAGAAAAAAAAATAAAATTTTTATTTTTATTGAGACATTCATTTGAACTTAATGAGTTTCTCGATGAAACGAATTTGGCATTCACATTATTTTGTAATGATGAAGATGGCTATGTTAAAAGACCTCATAGGAATGCTACTGAAGCTATAATATGGCTTATTAAAAATACTTATAGTAAAGGAAAATCCTTAATATTCTAATAATGATGAAGATGGCTATGTTGAAGGACCTTGAAGATTATTGATCTCCTTAGTTTCCACCATGTCAACATCGTACCAATAATCCTTTACTCCAACTACTTTTGCATCATGTGTAAATCTGTCTAAAAAATGTATAAGAAAGAAAATAACATGTATTTTTAGATAACAATGCAAGGGTTGAAACACCAAAACAATAAATTTTGTCAAAAACAATGAGATAGAAGGCACCATAGCTAATGTTTCATCTCAATCCTTTGAAAGAATAGGGAAGTCTAAACAAATATGCCAAGAATGATAATAATTATTTGATGCTAATTTTGTTGATGTGGAAGTAGATGACATATTGTTTCACTTGTGATACATGTTGACGTGTCTTCTTTTAAAAAAATTGTCGTATCAATAACTATACCAGATGACATATTTATGATAGCCATTGTGTGTGTTAGTAATATATAAAATTGACCCAAAATTTAACGAGGAGAATATATAAGAAATTGAGTTGCACTGTTGTCTATAGAGCCTTATGCTACTGTCCTCAAGCTTTATAAGTTGTTCCTCAATCATGCATAGTGGCATAATGTATTAAGGTTTTTTTTTTCTTCACTATCTATTAAGGTTGTTGTAATATACTACACAATTCAATTCACCAATTTATTGCCCACATCATCATTCTCATAGGTTAACTTCTTATTTCCACTATCATCAGAACCATATTGTTATTGGATGCTTGCCAATGTTGTTGATTTGATTCATAATATAAGTTGAAGTCTAGCTTTGCAACCTTCAAATTCTCTATAGGTTGATTATGCACTGATGGATCAATTAGTATCTCATAGTTGTTGGTCACTTCCACTTATGTTGGATTTCAACACCTATCTACTTTTACCCCTACCTCTATAGGTACATGACATGGAATCACTTCCATGACCATAAGCCACCACATTCCTACTCTTTGAAGACGTTTTTCTTTTTTACTTGAGTGAAATGATGGAGATTATCATTTGAATGAATTTGTCATTTTTAGGCTATGCATCCATTTAATTTTTTTTATTAATGTTTAAATTATGTTTCTTATGTTAGTTGAATGCCCAATGAAGACATTAGATTTTGCCTTATTAGGCTAATTTATTTTTTTATGAAATAAAGACCTACGTAAGAGTTTCTTAGGGTTTTATGGAGGAAAAATTGAATTGTTAATTTACTATCATCTCTTTCCTTTCTCTTCAATCATTAGCAAGATTTCCTTTCTTGTTTTACTATCTCTTTTCAACATATTTATTTTGATGATAATATAACATGTGATTGGATGCTCTAACATGCATACTCAGTGTTTTAGGAATCATTGGAATAAGGATAAATTGCATGGTTTGCATGCATATCCAAATGTTTAAGTAACCATGATAGCTAAAGACAGATGCAATGGAGCTCATACCACATGTTTCAAAGTTATACAATGTTTGTGATGACCTAAAGGCCCAGAGGTTGTACATTACAAGTTTTGACTAACAGCTAACAAAGAATATTTTAAAATTCAATTTCATTGCCCTAAAATTTGCCCCCAAAATATTTTTATTAATTAAATTATATTTAATTTTTTTTTGCAAAGCTAATACAAAATTCGAATTCTATTTTGGAAGTATTTTCAAATTATTAAAATTATTAAAATCTTTAAATTGATTTTTCATTGAGCTTTTAAACTTTAAATAATATATTTTTAATACTTGGTTGAAGAACACTATATCTTTTTCACCCAAGTACATTGTCATAGAGATTGCCCAAATCCAACGAATATGTAGGGCCTACACAACTATGTAGGACATGTGAAAATGAATGAATTCATCGGACAATGATACCAGTTGTGCTCACCATTGTCATCTTGTTGAATGAATAATGCCTATAGGGTAGTTGTTGAAATCTTAATATTTGATAGATAGAGATCTCCACTTCTTCCTTGCATTGAATAGAGAGTATGCGACTCGGGTCTAGATTTTAAAACTTGATAACCAAGCTTGTTGCTAGAACCTTGTTTGCTAAGAGAACATGCAAAGGTATTTTTGGTTGAAATCTCTGCCACTAAGTTCAATGTAGCCACCTTGCACTTCAAATAAATAACATATGTTGGGGTTCTTTGTTGAATGGTCAAAGATCAAACTCATTACTAACATTTCACATGCATTAGAAAATAGCTCAATGAAATGATGAGAATGACTTTATTAATATGCATTTCATAGGCTACATAATTCACAATTACCTCCTATGTGTCAATAAAGACTCAACTGTACGTGTTTGGAGCAATATCTCCTCTCAAAAGTAATGCTTAACAAAAAAAACCACTTAATCGGAGGTGCAATTAAAGTCAGAGGTTATGTTTTGTTCTTTTTGATAGAAGTGTTTCAATGTACTATCCCTTATGGATGCACAAAGCCCTGCAAAAATGCAAGGGCCTCATATGCTAGGGTTTTGGGTCATACAAATTGCTTTCTTGGGCCTTGTGCACTTGAACTAGCTCGAGCAATGGATTGCTTAAAGTTATTTATGATGATTTAAGCTAGCAATTTTTGGTTCAATCTTGTAAACGCCGATAAAACCGGCGGTCCTTTAACCGCCGGTCATGACCGCCGGTAATCGACGTTTTTTCTGTAATGATACATCTTTAATCCACAAATAAAATTTGGTTTATCTTAAGAGCATTCGAAGGTTTTAAGATGGTTATGAACTTTGTACACGGAGTTGCTAAAAAATTAATGAGCTTGCTCCAATATTATTTTGTTTTGGGCTTCAAAATCATTAAATTTAGTAAGGATTTTGTTTTAGCAGCTAAAAATTCTCCCAAGCAAAGAATATAACAATGTGTTATTGCAATATCTTGATTTAAAATATTGACTAAATGCATACGTTGATGCCTTGGAAGTGCTTGTAGTTAAGGAGAGTCATCCAATCTTGCATGTAAGTTGCAAAGTAGAGGTGCAATGATATTTTTGATGGAAAATATAATTATGGAAAATTTTGCAAAAGTGCCTAGGTATAAGAGGGCAACTGATATGACTCTAAAATATATATCTCTATTAATTCTCTCAATTCGATTAAGGATGCCAATGTTCGTGCTCCGGTGATCTTCATATAATAAGGTTTAACTTGATGAGGGTCTTTTCAACTCTTGCACCATTGGATGATATCGAGTTTTATGTAAATCTTTAATTATCTTTGATATAGTTCATCTAGTTAGCATTAATTTGATCATCCTATTTAAATCAATAATATTAATCTAATTGTCTGGTTTAGATTTTCAAAACCTATTAATCTCATTATCCATCAATCGATGCATCATTATTAGGGACATGATGGTCTAACATGAATTTTAATATAAACATGTTAGTTATTTATACTTCATTAATTTAAAGATAAAAAAAAAACCCCTCAATTGAGGAGTATTTTGATCTAGCATAGATCTCGAAGGTGATGTGAGTCTTCTATATCCACCATACATCTTACCAAGATACTAAATTCCCTTTTTTCAAATGCTTATGTATACCCTACAAGTGGGCAAGGTCAAGGGCTTTCCCAAACTTTGCATCCCTATCTCTCCTCTAAACTTTCACTCTTTAATTTACATTTAATTAGTTTAAGCTCTTAACCATCTTTTAGCCCGATTGTTGAATTGTTTTAGTTGATTGTGTATGACATTGTGTCAAGTTCTAGATTATCCATTAGCCCATACTTTGTTGGTGTTGAAAATGAAATAAGTTATTTTATATTGAAATCTATCCAATCTGGTTGGGGTGTGATTCGTGTTTTACTCGGGTTTTGTCCTTTGTATATTCCTTATGTTTTACCTTTAATTCATAATGTAGTGATCATTTACGATTTCATAATATAGTATAACTTATTGTGGAAACTATATGCATTTATTAAGTTTTCCCATATATTCTACCATATATTCTTACATGCTAAATATATTATACAAAAAGTTCAAATTCCTTTCTTTATTGGTATAGTTTATAATATTGGTAGTATGCTAATCACTTAATTATGGCTATGGATTTTTTCTAGGACTGTTCGATTTTTCTACTGGTGTTGAAGTAATAAGGGGGGAGATAGTGAAATGCATTGATTTAGCCAAGGATGGTATTCATGCAATTCTCATGGTTTTCTCCATTGGATCTCGCTTTACAAGAGAAGAGGAGGCTGCTGTTGAGAGTATGAAGTCACTTTTTGGTGATAAGATTGTTAACTACATGATTATAGTTTTTACTGGGGGGGACACATTGGAATCCAAAAGGAAAAGCTTGAAGGACTATATTTGCTTTTGTCCAGAGCCTTTGAAGGTTTGTTTCTTTTTTGGATAATATTGAATTCCTTTTTCAGCATGTGTATGCAGAATTTCTTGAGGGCAAGAAGCATTGCTAAGTGTAAAATTGAAATCACATCATGATATGTTATCTTAATATGTTAATGGATAATGGCAAAGGTATGCTGAATAAAATATCAAGACTTTACTTAATTTTTTATGCAACATACTCCAACCCATTGTCTTAGATGGCATTTATTAGCTATATTGTAACATGTTGGAACTCCAGGTGTACCAAAAAGCTTCTATATATGAGAGTAATGCAACAAGTTCTTAAAATAAAGAATGCAAAAATGTCAAAAATATCAAAATAGTCTCTAAATTATTTGTATGGGGTTATTTTAGTTCCAAAATATAAATAGGTTCAATTCAATATCTTACTACTGATATATTATTTAAAAGTGTCTACCTGTTGGATTATTTATGCATTAGATTTGAGGAGTCGAGGGTTAATTTTAGATTAGATTGCAATAATCAAGGAACTACATTAGATAGTAGGGATTAAAATGGTTCTCATAAATAGTTAAGGGCCTATTTTGATATTTTTTGCAATTTTAAAACTGATTATGTAATCATTTTTTTGCTAGTACATGCAACAATTGTTTCCTATTCAAATTTGACTCTTGTTTCCAATTGTTCACACAAACTATGCCTATCTTTAAATAAATTTAGTTTGCACCCTTCTTTTGAAATTGAATTTCTTAAAGCTAAATTTGATGATTTGATTGATTGACCTTGCCCACATTTCAAAACGGTGTTGTACCTTGCCTCTTCATTAGTCCATGTCATGTTAGAGAAACCTAGTTTTTCCATTGGTTGGCTTGCATTCTACAAATTTCTTATATCATGTTATGCAGACTATATGAAATGTTGTTGTTTGGATGAAGAGACTAAATTGGGCTCCCTTTAGCTTCATCCATGCTCCATTTAGCTTCACCCTTCTCCTACCCCTTCCCACTCCTCTCTCTTTTGGATCATCCTACACCATATTTATATGTCTTCCACCCATTATAATTAATTTCTCTCTTCTTCTACATTTTTTTTCTCTTTTGCATTCTGAAATTATTGCAAACTTCAAACTTCAAATTATAGAAGTCTTGGATAATGGATGAAGAGATCTAACTCAATTTGTATGGTGGTTTTTGTGAATCTGGTTATTTAAAAGTTGTATTTGGTCACTTCGTGAATCTTTTTATTGCAAGTACTATGTGTTATAACCCAATAGTATTTGGTTATTCAAAAACTTGGTGTGGTTCCTATCTTGGTTGACCCATGTATTAGAAATGTGTTTATTTGTTATGATGAACCAAGCTATTAAGAAGTTGAATTTGGATGCTAGTTAAGTGAATTTAATTATTTTTGCACTAAATTTGGTTATATTCTATGAATATCTTGTTAATCACCCTACATGGTCATTATGTTAATTTATTTTTTTATGGGAAATATACTTATTTTAATTTACAACTAATCTTGTCATTCAAAAGTTTAACTAGTTGAATGAATCTAGTTATTGCAACACTTAATGTGGCTATAGGCAAGCAAAGATGGTGATACAAATGAGAGGCATTATGTGAAATTGAAAATAATTGGATGAAACAACACACCAAGAATAACATAAAGAAGCACTTTTTTTGTATGGTAAGTAATCATCTTTTTTTAAAATTTTGTATCAAGTCTAGATTATTTACCAAAAAAATGTAGTTGATTAGTCAAAGGACAAAAAAAAAAAAAGATCGACAAAAAAAAGATCAATGCTAAGTAGGAAACCACAATTTTCCTAAAGATAGTTAAAGCTCCCTTTTATGTATTATTATTTTTATATTTTTCATAATTTCATGTTGGTGAATAGTTTATAGTTCATTAATAACTTGTTGATAAATGAGGATTGTGGAGTGACAAAAAATTTAAGAGCATTTAAAGTTTTGTTGAACCTTTTAATGAGAGCAACGTGATTACCTAGATGAATTTTTTATATCAGTCTATACTTTGTTATAAAAATATCATTATGCTTTTATTTTTTTTAAATGCAACATTTGGCAAAACTTTTGGACTTTTATTTTCTCTTTAATTTCTACCTCTATTCTAGAAATGACTCAAATGAGAGGAGATCCACTTCATTTTCATTACTCATGTTTTAACTTGATTATTTAATGTGTTCTATGTGACATCTAGAGTTAAAGAGTACTTATATCTTCAAATTGTAAGGCTTTATTATAGTTTAAGAGTACCGATTTGTTTAGAGTGATTTAAAGATCAAAGAATTTAAACTTATTAAGTCCATGATAAATTTGTATTGCTCTTACCGTGTTACTTTTATGTCTTGTAAATTTAAATCTTTAAACTTCTTTTTTTATTTTTTCTTTTGGTACAATTATTTCCATCCGCAATAATTTTCTTGCAGAACATCATTCAGCAGTGTAATAATAGAGTAATCGTTTTTGATAATACCACCATGGATATGATCAAGAGGGAGGGACAAGTAAATGAGCTGCTCTCTCTTGTTGAATCTACTATTATGGACAATGGTGGAAAACCATACTCAAATAAGATTTTTGCAGAACTCAAGGTATATCGTCTCCTTGGTTCATAATTTACAATTGCTAGCTGTATTAGATGTAAATTTTTTATACTTTATGTTGGGTATTTATTTCATTAGGAAGGAGCTTTACTTCGGGACCAAAAGGCTAAAGAAATTGAAGCTAAAGAAGGATGTTCCAAAGAGAAGTCATTTGAACTTATGAAAGAGATTATTAAATCATATAATGATCAACTGAAGCGTGTAACTGAGATGGTTAGCTCATTTTTAACTTCTATTGCTTTTATGTTTTCAAAGTTCATAGCTACATCAGTCTTAATACAACTATGAGTTTAGTTGTGGAGTCTCATTTTTTGGCCCATAAACAACACCTCATGTTGGTTTAATTGAATGTTGACCTTTATTTTGAAGCTGTTGCAAGGGTTGGAAGGAGGTAGAGAGCCCAAAAATGTTAACTAATAATTACAATTAATTATTTCGTTAGGAGTGTTTTAAAAATTTTATTATGCTTGGGATGTCTTATATTTGTCTTTATAAGATGGGGAGTAGTGTTTTATATCTTAGTCATTTGGGTTGAAATATGATTAAAGGTGTAAAATAAAAAATTGAACATCAAAGATAAATAGTAGCTCAAAGTTATGCATTCATTTTTCAATTTATTATTAAGAGTTACTGGGCGACCTATATATATGAGGAAGGAGATTATTAAGTATGGAGGTAGCCTACTATGGTAGTAATATTGTTTTAGGCTAGCGACTGGATTTTTCTAAAGGTTATAGTTAGTCTTATATGTTCATTTGCAATTATAGCTTTTGATTTGGTCATGGTGGAATAATTATCCACATCCCATGCTAAAGAAGATGATAAATTTATTCGAACATGGCCTATCACCATATGGGGTCTTTGAGAGATGCGCTGTAGTAGGTAGGGTTAGTGTATGTGATGGAATGAGATCCATTGAAGTGTTATTATGGATGCAAGAGTTTAATGGGTTTACATTATGCGGCTTGGAAGGGTGGGGTTGGTATATATTGGTTGGGGGAGGTTAGGGTGATGGTAAATAGGTTTTAATATAAGGTTGTGTTGGGAAAATGACATGGGGAGATGTATACATAGGCGAGAATTAAAGGTGTTAATAGATGGTTTGTGTGGGATTGGGGGAATATTAGAGAGAGAGAGAGAGATACTAAGGTTAAGGGGGGTGGGGATGGTTGTTTTGGGGAGACTTGCTAAGTAGATTGATGATTTTGATATGGGAAAATATGTTCATTAAAGATAACGTGATGAGAGATGTATCTTTCTTGAGAGGGGTTTAAAGCAATAATAACCTTTTTGAGATTGTGCATAGTATATGAACATGTGTGGCGTGAATCTTGGGGTTAGTTTCTTATGAAGTATGGTTGGAGAGAGGAAGCACTAGCACCCAAAATTTTTTAGATGCAAGGAGTTGGAGGAGGCTTTGTGAAGATGTTCATTTGGTGCAACAGCTTGCCTGTGATAGATAGTAAATGGTTAAATAAGATAAACTGTAATGAGAAGAGCATCTATCTAAATTAAGTGAGGTAGATGGGCATTAAGAAGGGCAGTATGTATGGCGTAGTTAGATGAGATAGAGCACGATTTTCATTAGTGAGTTCATGGATAGAAATTATATTATAATATGGGAAGGGTTGGGCTATTATGAAGTATAATATGTTGTGAGGCTAGATAAGGTTGTGAGTTGAGAAAAGGTTGGGATCTAAACTAAAATGTGATATAGCTCCGAATAACATTCATCATTAGTGCTTGCCATGTTAGAAATGAGAGCTGATTGGTTGGGAGATTGATCAGTATGAGAGAGGTGTTGCCTATATAATTATTTAGTGACCGAATATCCCATTTTTTATAGATCTTACAAATGAGGGATGAAAGAGTGGTTCAACATCTACGGTGCTTGGAGGGAATGATCATTTAGAGGTGCTGCATGATTTATAACCTATGTTGATGGGGATGGAACAATCCATAGCAACCGTTCCCCATAGTACTGGTGAGGGTGGTTGGAGCCTCACTGAGTGAAAGCGATTGGACATCACAAGATGCCTTAATGAGCAAATTTATTTCCTCACCGTAGAGGAGGCGGGTAGGAGTTCTCTAGGTTCAAGGGTTAAAGGTTAGTTCTAATAATTGACTTGAGTGCTTGGTAGGTGTCTATGTGTGGTTGTTTAAGGTGTAAAGAATGATGTCTTTGAGATCTAATGGTTTTAGCTGCAACAATAGAACCAAGATTGGATTTAATGGTGGATATGTACTAAGTTATTGTTTGATCTTTAGTAGTTTCAAGCGGATATTATATGACCATTCTCCAGTTTTAGAAGTTTAGAATGATTAGTATATTGAAATCATTTCTTGATGATGATCCATATTTTGTGTTACGTGTTGGGATTGAGAATGTAGAGGACGTGTAGTGAGGTAACTCAAATATAAGGTCACTTTTAAGTTCTAATTGATGTGTATCCCTGGTTGGACGTAGCAAGTTGTCTACTTGGAGTAGATGATAGGGAAGACAGAGAGTTGCTTTGGTGAGATTGCCTTCAAATATTCTAGCGTGAAATATTTTGAAGAATTGTGATTTCTATGTGAGTGTATTTTTGGTAGTGAATTTGAGGTGAATTATGTTCTTAATGTTAGACATTAAGAATTTTAAATGTGATGGAATGGGAGTGTCAATAGTGGAGAGTGAGAATCCACCTCAGTTCCTAATGTGTTGGTGTTGGTTTGTGGGGTGTCTTTGGGATTTATATTCATGATAGATAAGAAAGGTTCAATTAAGGGAGGTAGGTGGGAGGGTACAACGATTATCATTGGGAAGGGGGCTTTGATATCATGATAAAAATGTATACAATATAAACTTGCACATGAAAGGTAAAGTAGATAAAGTGAAAGTGAAAGTAATTGTAAGATATACATTCATTTTTCGATGCATTAATAATAGCTTTAGGTTATCCATATATATTAGGAAGGAGACTATCATGTATAGATATTGACTGTTGTGGCAACATTTTTATTTCAATCTAGCGGTTAGGAGTTACCCCAGTGGTTACATGAGAGGGGGGTTAGGATGAGAAGATAACAAAGGTGTAGAAACCATAAGGTCAAAATATGTAAAAGTAATTAGTTGATTGAGTTATAATAAAATTCTTGTGTGTTTATTATGCATTTATATTTTATTTATTTATTTATTTTTTCAATATTTGTATAGATTTTAGGTATAAAAAAATCAAAATGGTTCTAGATTATTTATGAGTGGGTCATTGGTCCAAATTGTCTAATGAGTTTAATTTAGTTCCTGGACTTCTCAATTTTGAACTAAAATAATTTTTTGGCTCCTCATATTTGATCTAACATAATCCAACATAGAAATTATTTTAAATCATATTTAATTTAAGGCATCACTTGACTAAATTAAACAAACATGTAATTAGAAATTTAAATAAACCAATTAAAACAATTCATCAATCATATTAAGCTTCTCAATTCAATCTATGCTCTGACAAAATGACCATATTTTTGTTTACATACAGGTCGAAGAAAATTTGAAGTTAACTATAGAGAGTTTAAGTAAGCAGCTGGCTGAAGAGCAAACTGCACGGATGGAAGTAGAAAGGCTTGGTGGAGAATCACGGAAGGAGTCGAATGAAGAGATTCGGAAGCTCAAAGAGGAGATGAATGAGGCTAGGAAGGAATATGTGGAGTCGATGAGAAGACATGAAAATGAAAAACATGGGTGTGCTATCCTATGAAATGTGTACGTTATCTTAGTTATGAAACAAGAACTATATAGCTTTTGCGGGAAGAAGAACATAACACTTTTATATTAAACAGTTTTTTTTTTAATATTTTCCCGAATGACTTGTGCTTTGTTTGAGACAACTTTCTAACTATTTTGCTTTTCAAATTGCATCCATTTTTTATTTGGTCACTTCTTTTTCACTACATTCAACAAATTTTTATACTAAAAATTTATTTTTAACATTAATTTTTAACAAAGTTGCTTCATAGCAACAGTCGTCCCAAACGGACCCTTAGTAATCAGTAAGTTGCTTGATGCAAGTCTTTGCATTACAACTGCTTTGTTTTCATTACTATTACTATCAAGATTTATGCTGTTAGACAAGCAAAAGTGTGTTATGCAAGTTGTTTTTCAATATTGTAATATCTTTTTCTTTATGTACTACTCTTTAATGTATAAGTCAAATTTTTAGCAAGATTAATGCTTCATAAAATTGATTTGAATTTACACGAAGTACGCTGCTCACTTTGGTCTGTTGGTTGGGAGCTTTGGCTATCAATCAAGAAGTATTGTGTTTGAGTATTGGTACATGATTTGTGTATGGGGTTTGCCTTAATTGGCCTAAATGTCAAAAAAAAAAAAAAAAAATGAAGTTCAACATATTTTTTTACTCAATAATTGGCAAAAAATTTTGAACTTAAATTTAAGATCCTCTAAACTTTATTTTTAGTATTTTCATTATTGAGATAATATGTTATAAGATCAAAATCAAATTAATGCAAGGCTGAATAAGCTTAAATCGAACACCTAAAAACAATAATTGAAAATTTTTTGAGGGCAAATAACCACTAAATTTTTAAGTGGTTATAATTTAAATGACAAGAAAGATATGACAACTCTAACATTTCATAATTCTAAGTTTAATAATGCTTTAAAATATGGAAAGCCTTAGGCTTCGTTTGGAATAGATTTTTTGCTGCTTATTAAAAGTATCTTTCTAGTACAAAATTTTTAATGTTTCTACTTAAAAGTTGCTTTAAAAAATAGGAAAAATGTCATCCCAGACGAAATCTTATTGTATGATTTATTTCCTATGTTGATGGGGATGGAACAATCCATAGCAACCCTTGCCCGAAGTATTGGTGAGGGTGGTTGGAGCCTCGTTGAGTGAAAGCGATTGGACATCACAAGATGCCTAATTGAGCAAATTTATTTTCTCGGTGTAGAGGAGTAAGGCGTTCTCTAGGCTTAAGGGTTGAAGGTTAGTTCTAATCTTTGTCTTGAGTGCTTGGTAGGTATGTGTGGGTTTATTTAAGGTGTAATGAATGATGTCTTTGAGATATAATGGTTTTAGTAGCATCATAGCAACAAGATTGGATTTAATGGTGGATATGTACTAAGTCATTGTTTGATCTTTCGTAGTTTCAAGCAGATATTATATAACCATTCTTCAGTTTTAGAAGTTTAGAATGATTAGTATATTGAAATCATTTCTTGATGGTGATCCATATTTTGTGTTACGTGTTGGGATTGAGAATGTAGGGGAGGTGAGTTCGTGAGGTGAATCGAATATAAGGTCTCATTTAAGTTCTAATTGATGAGTATCCCAATTGGAAGTAGCAAGTTGTCTACTCGGAGTAGATGATAGGGAAGACGGAGAGTTGCTTGGTAAGATTGCCTTTAAATATTATACTGCGAATTATTTTGAGGAATTGTGATTTCTATGTGAGTGGTTTTTTGGTAGTGAATTTGAGGGAAATTATGTTCTTAATGTTAGACATTAAGAATTTTAAATGTGAAGGAATGGGAGTGTCAATAGTGGAGAGTGAGAGGTCAGCACAGCTAGTTAATGGCCAATACTCTTCCAAAGCAATTGGCGAGATTTTTGAGATGAGAATTAGTTCACCCATCTTAAAAACTAATTTTATTGCACATATATAAAATACATATTGCTAGAATTTAAAATGTATATATAATAATAATGTTGAATGTTAAAAATAATTTAGTTGGATTTATATTTGCATTAATGGCAATTGAATGTATGGACATGAATAAAAAAATTAAAAACAAAAATAAATATTATAAAAATATATAATTACATGAATTAAAATGTTATCAATAAAACTAATTATAATAATGCTGATCGGCATAAATATCAATTTTATTGGTTAGAATTTAATAGAATTATAACAATAAAATATTACAACTTATGAACAAATGACACAATATACCTCATCAAACATAAAACAAAAGATCTCAGAACATCACAACGGAGATATGTTCGCGTAAAAAAAGAAAGGGTGATGATCCCTCATCGCCAAAAAGGTCATCCAAGGGAAGAACCTGCATTTGAAAGTAGGCTAGCAAATATCTTAGATCAAAGAGCAATTCTCCAACAAATTAGAGATAAAAGTGGAAGTAGAGTTAATAAAGAGATTTAGAGGGTCTTCTTCGTCTAATAAAGGTAGACTATATGTGGCATAACTGAACGTGAAATTTTAAGCAAGTATTGGGACATACATATCTTCTATATATGACTAAATACTCTGTTGAATTAAATGAATTGAATATAAAATAATTTGACAAAGTAAATAATATAAATATAAAAAAATTATTTAGTTAATGAACACATTCTATTATTCCTTTACAAGTATATTATGATATCTTTGTGGAGGTTCAAATTGGAATACCCTATTTGTTCTACTCTGAAATTAATATATTTTGACCTGCATATGTAAGTACAGGAATAGTATAAATATGTAAAATAAACTCTAACATGTTATTTGAAAATGACAATTACTTTTCTGTTCAATTGTTATTAATAATTAATTATGTAATAATAAATTGTAAATATGGGCATTGTTCAATTGTATTATAAGTTTGTTAAAATAGTAGTTTGGATGGCTCTAAATTTAATTTCATAAAGTTTTAATCAAAAGTTGCCTTGAGATTCATGCCTAACAACAACAACATCAAACCTTTATCCCACTACGTGAGGTTGGCTACATGAATCTTTTTTCTCCATTGTGTTCTATTAAAAGTCAAATTCTCATTTAAGAAATTTTTCTATATATATTTTTTGGGAACGGGGTATTTACCCGCTGCTACTCCAAAGGGAACACTTGACAGATTAACTAATCCCTCGGCAGAACCTAGCAAGGCCACCAACCGGCATCGGGTCTACACTTGTTTTGCCCCATTGAAGAGGCGAGGCCGTAATATGGGGATTTGATTCCGAGATGAGGGGTTCCCAATCGTGCTCGTCACCGACTACCCTAAAGCTAGGTGGGTAAATTTTTCTATATCAAAACTAAGTTTTAAAATGTAGTTTGAAATGTGCTATTTTATTTTTCATATTATTTCATTTTATTATAATAATAAAGAATAACAATAGTCTTACATTCCTGTCAGCCAACTGATTTTCTAACTTAAATAGCTGGATACCAACAGGCTGGTTTTAATAAGCTAGTTAAAAGCCGATACTTTTTTCAAAGCACTTGGCGAGATTTTTGAGATGAGAAATAGTTCAGCAATCTTAATTAGATTCTTAAATATTTGAACGTTTGTCTCTCCTTCTCGCAGTAAATGCCGGGCATTCCGAAAGGCTTAATTTCTCTGTTCGTCTTCTCCGTGATTATAAGCGTCGAAGTTGCCACCGTCTCCATTCCCCGGCTGTACCAGCTAAACAGCTCAAGCCACCGAATGTAAGCAACTCCTTATTTTTCTATTCTTCATTTCTGTTGCGCTTTGTTGCTTCTTCTACTCCTGGAGTCTGTTCTTATTATTATCTGTTTGTCCTTTAGCTTTTCAATAACGTGGTGTGATTGTTGGCAACATAGATTCTTAGCACAGAACTGCTGAATTCTCCAACAAAATATGCTCACTTGTCCATGCCTTCATCTTAAGGTTTTGACTACTCGTTCATGAATACTTGCCAAAATGGACTAAGGAGTTCTCATCAGTGGAGTTTATTAAGGGAACGTTTAGCAAGGTTAATCGCCCATTGTTCACACTTCACAATTCTAGCCAAGGCTTACCTACTATAACATTGGAGAACATATTATTGGTAAATAGAAGCATGTACAAAGCAAACGGAAGAATAATTACATCATATCTAAATAACTTGTACATGAGGATGGTCTAGCCAAAATGATTAAGGGAGCCCTTGGGTAATTTTAGCAAGCTTCAACTTTGACAAATCCTTGCTAGGATTGTCTCAACAACCTCTCCAATTCGCCCTTGTTATCATAGCCCTAGACATGTTGCTCCGTTGCTTTTTAGTGTGCCATCTCTTTGAGAGGATGGAACTATTGAAGCTTTTCTGACCACTTAACCAATGAAGTGTCAAGTCCAATCAACTAACGTCTTCTTAGTTGAGATCACCAAGGCTCAACATCCTACTAATTAAGTCTTGATTCATATAAGAGAGTCATATAAAACTGATCATGAGTCATATACAACTGATCATGTTGACATTTTGAATTAACATATTTGTCGAGTTATCTCGAGCTCATAAATGAGCCTGCCTAATAGAGCATTTTCGAGCTAAAAAATGGTTAGCTTGCCAAGCTTAGAAAAATATGATACTTTTAAAGACAACTTAATGAACACACAGCAAATAATCCAAGAAAGATGAATAAGTACCTCTAATTAATAGTTACTATAATGTTTAATTAGTTTTAAAGTTTATTAATTTAAGATTATTCTATTATTAAATTATAATAAATATAAACATTCATGTTAGGTTGTTCAATATTTTCATAAGACATAATTGTGCTCCATATCAAACATTAATCTTGTTTTTTAAGGAGCTTCATATCGAACATAAACGAGTTGAACAAATAGTTGTTTGAACTTATTTATTTAACCATAGAGTATTAAAAAATGTTTAATCTTGTTTGATTACTTAATCAAATGATCATGAACATGCAATAATCGAGCCAAACCACAAGTAGCTTATCGAACGCTCAGTTTGTTTGTAGTTGTAATGTCGGTGTCGTAATGTTTTTAATTCCAAACTGCTAGATCGATAGTATTTTCTTGACAATGCTAGTCCATATAAATTAATTATATTTCAATGCGTTTTTGATTAAATAAGTAAAATAAAATTTAAGGGGATTTACATAAACTTCTATTATTTAAATATCGAACACCTAAATCTTATTACATAAAACAATTAAGGTATGCATGCAAATCCCTCTGGGGTGGCACTCATTAATGGGTTCTTTGACAATTATTTCTTTACCGAGCACAAGAAAACTAGAGGTTTGATTGCGCTATTGATCACTTGAGGAATTAGGAGGGCGACCAATAATACATTTTCATGAACACTTCTATCCATATTTAAATCCATTCTCTTGAATTTGAAATGCTTGGACAGTCTTCCTAAATGTCCATGAGAGCTCAAAAATTTTCAAATCACCTATGCACTTTGAACTGCAATAAAATCACATTCACTGCTGATTTTGTGGTCGATTTCATACTTCCTGGAGTAAAAAAGGATACTATTGCACAAGGCTAATTTTGGTGGCTCTAATTTCAACTTCTTAAATTGAAAAAAAAAACTACAGATGAAGATTCTGTCCAATGAGTTCTTTTGTAACCTGAATTTTTTTGGATTTTCTTGATAGTTTAGCGGATATTTTAACGTTTGAAAATTATCAATCTTCTTCATTCTTGTAAATAACTAAAAATTCAGGAATAGTTAAATAATCAAAGTATTATAAATCTAAAGAAAATCAGTGAAAACCTTCACTATAAAGTTGAATCCTTATATTTATATATTTAGATTATTGACTCTCTCCAGGTATTGATAATTCAAGCTTTTGATCAAGTCATCATTCAAGATTAAAATTGAATAATTAGGCCAAATTGGATTCTAAGGATTCTTTATCTTCTTCTTCTTCTTAGCTTGTTGAAAGATACATGATAATCAATGAATTGAATGCACACCCATATTTGTGTGGTCAGATAAATGAAGTCATTTTATAGCTTTAATCCGCTTCAACAAAGTCTCTTGCTAAGAAACAACTCGAAACTCACTTGAATGTCTCAAATCTGGCCTTATTGGATCATGTTAACTTGACCAAGAGTTTGCTTTACTCAGTTTTCATTATTGAAATGCTAAATTCACCAACAAAAACATTTGTCAATCAGGACTGAGAAGTTTTCGTCAATAGAATTTGCCAAGTTATGTTGTCAAATGAACTTGTCAAGGGAACTGTCCTTCATCCAGGCTACTTGCACTTAGTTTTATTTTGTTCGTTTGAGCAAACATTATACTGCACAACTTAACAAATAGATGATCAAATCAAATGAGAATTCATGTTTTTGCCTATAATTTGGTTTTCAAGAAAGCAAGTCTAGTCCCAGTTAAGTTGCCTTGTAGCAAATCCGAAAGCTAAGATGTAGTTATTTCTTAAAGGATGGGAATAATAAAATATGAGAACTATGACGAAGGCATTGACAAGAAAATACAAATTTATAAATAAATTTATCACATGTGAATCCCAATAATATAGCATTAAGTTTGCATGTTCGTTAAGTATATGAGATTGCAGCATTAATTACTTTTTAGCTTAATCAATTTACTAAGTCTTTTTCGCATTTTGTTTAGTCACACACAATGGAGGTCGACCCAATTAATGATTTGGAATTGACAACTGCAAGTAACTCTGTTAATATTGTCATTGTTGGGAAGGCTGGTAATGGTAAGAGTGCAACTGGCAATAGCATTCTCGGAAGGGAAGCCTTCTTTTCTAATCTTAGCCCTTCGGGAGTAATTGAACTACAAAGAACTATTTTGAATGATGGTCGTATTCTCAATGTTATAGACACTCCAGGTAATGACAATTTCTTTATGGATCTATTGTTTTATTTATTCTTTTATTTTTTTACTTTCTTTATGGATCTATGAATGTTCATTAAGTTCGAAAAATACATACGTATTCATATATTTGATTTTGAATATTATATGTATTATATCACAACTTGAATGCATGAATTGTTTGTTATTGTTTAACTTTGTGAAAAAATAACTTTATGTGCTTTTGAAGTTTGTCTTATCTTTTTATAGCAATTGTATCCTTCAGTTTAGTGCATGTGATAACATTATCAAGAATATATTGAAAATATTTATGCATTCACATAAAGCATATATAATTGATGAAAACTAAAATAAAATTTGTGAAAAATGCACACCTCACTTGTTTGAGGATAAAAATATGTAAGAACCGTAGTTCTCGAGAACTTTAAAATGGACTTAACAAAAAAAGGCAAAAAAATATCAAGCAACACTTCTAATAAACCTCTATGGAAATATTTATGTATATATATATATATATAAGTAAGCATGGCAACCAAAAGGAATTGAAGTTAGTCATTCACAACTCTTTACCTATAGTACTGGTGAGCATTTGCTTTATCCATGCACACATGTGGCAGGAAATTCCATTTGTTATGTATCATTGTTCCAACTTAAAGACTTGTATGAACAAAAAAACTCAAGTTCAGCAGGGTAAATACATGCAAAGGGTCAAATTCTAGCAGGCGGTGTGGCTAGTGCTAGCGGGGAACTCGCTTTAGGAAAAATTTATATTAGTAGCTTATATACCATAGGAATGTTATAATTTTGAATATTAGATAATTGCTATTTTAGTTAGTTCATTTTTGGACTCACTACCATGTTTGTATTTAATTTTTATTTAAATAAATCAATTGAAACCAGCGATCTATCATAAAGGGTTGACGAAAAAACACATAGGAGTGAGCCAAACTTAAAAAAATTATTACGTGCTGACTACATATTATAGCTCTAGTTGTCAAGTACATGTGTATATAATTATGTAGTGATTTGTTTTCAGTACAAAAGCTATGTGCTATTGTAAACTAATAGTGTATTTTATTTTTGGACTGCACAACGAATGCACAAATAGATGTGTACTAAATATATAACAAGCACATCGCTATGTACTCTTAAAATCTCCATGTAGAGCTATATGTGTAATCAATACTTAATAAATTTCTCCTAGACTTGACATTCCAAATGCCTGACTAATTTTTTTTTCTCCCCACTTTATAAGATAGGTTATTGGGGGTATTATTTTGTGGAATCACATTATACAATGGTAGCAACAAAGCATTATGGTTAAGGTTTGACAGTTATATATTTGTAGTATTTCATTTTTATGATCAACATTAATGTTATAGGTTTGACTTACTTATTTATCCATAGGAAATAGTCTACAACTCTTAAAATTTAATTTGCTTTATTTATCAATTTTGCATACTTTTCTTAAATATTTTTTGTAGAGTGATAATAGAGGTGTTCCTAAAAATAGCTCTTATTTATTCCAAAATTTGATTGATGACAACAAAACTCATTCTACACTAATCTTTTCTCATTCAGAGTTAAGCTCAACGATAGTCCTTTAACTTTCACATTATTATATCATGTCAAGATTTGTTTTATCCCCGATTGGCTTTCATGGAGTATATTTAGTAGAAAATAATGATGCTAGCATAAATTATCCAATCCTGTAATCCCAGTAACACTATAAACATTTTTCATGGTCATTATAGTTTCAATCTGGTATGGTAGGAGAGGAAGCCTCTGGTTTGATGAGGTTTATTCAAAGTTACTTCATTGCCTCCTAAATGTTTACGTCCATGTTATACATAAATTAATGTAATTTTGTCTAAAATTTATAACAAATGTTCTTATTAGAATTTATATAAGGTTAGTTGACCTGTTAATCATATCCAATAAAAGTATCAGAAGTTGCACATTTGAAATTCGATCCAAGTCGTGTATTGAAATTCCTAGCCAATGTCTCAACCTTTTCAAATTGGACCTTTATTTTTGGCTCAAAACAATAGTTCTTCAATTGACTGGCATAAGTTCAATCTTGCTAGGTTACCATCTACCGTTCTTCAAGATTGTACAAACTTAAGAGGATGAAGTATGTTTCAATAGAATTATGTTTGTTTCTTTCTCCTGTTCACATTTATTATTATCTGAAGTATCTGGAATGGTATTGAGGCATTGTTTTTAGCAATTTAATCGCATTTTTTGCTACAGAATTTTCAAATTCCTTTCTCTATTGGTATAGTTTAGAATATTGGTAGTATGCTAATCACCTAATTCTGGTTATGGATTTCTTTGTAGGGCTGTTTGATTTTTCTACTGATTTTGAGGTAATAAGTGGGGAGATAATCAAATGCATTGAATTAGCCAAGGATGGTATTCATGCAATACTCATGGTATTCTCAATTGGATCTCGCTTTACAAGAGAAGAGGAGGCTGCCTTTGAGAGTATAAAATCACTTTTTGGTGATAAGATTACTAACTATATGATTATAGTTTTCACTGGTGGGGATATCTTGGAATCTAAAAAGAAAAGCTTGAAGGATTACATGAGCCTTTTTCCAGAAACTTTGAGGGTTTGTATATTTTTTTTTTCTATTTTTATATATTTTTGCTAATTTCAAACTAATTATGTGATCATATTTTGTTTACTAATACATGCGACAATTGTTACCTATTCAAATTTATGACTTGTTTCCAATTGTTTGCACAAACTAGGACTATATTTTAATATATTTTACTTGGACACTGCTTTTTAAAATTGAATTAGCTAAAGCCATATTTGATTGACCCTGCCCACATTTCAAAATTGTGTTGTACCTTGCCCCTTCATGAGACCATGTCATGTTAGAGAAACATAGTTTTTCCATTGGTTGCGAGCACATTTTCAAAAAATTAAATTTGGTTACTATCTTGGTTGATCTATATATTAGAAGTATGTGTTTAATGGTTATGATGAACTTGGCTATTCAAAAGATGAATTTAGATTCTAGCATAATGAATTTAATTTTTTCAACACTAAATTTGGTTATATCCTGTGAAGATCATGTTTCTCACCCTACATGTTTATTATCTTAAATAATTTTTTTATTGGAAATAGACTTATCTACAGTTTACAACGAATCTTATCATTCAAAGCTGAACTACTTGAATGAATTTGGTTATTGCAACATTTAATGTGGCTATTGGCAAGCGAAGACGGCGACACAAATTGAAGTTGCTGGGATCAATCAAATTGGAGTGACTTGCTTTGATCGAATTAAGAATTTCATAGTGAAATAGAAATACTCAAATGAGATGGAATTGTGTAAAATTAAAAAAAAAAATGAAACGATACACTAAGAATATCATGAAGGAGGACATTAATTGGTATAGTAGCTAATCATCTAAATTTCAAATTTTGAATCAAGTCTAGATTATTTACCTAAAATTATTGTTGATTAGTTGTAGGACCAAAAAAAGTGATCAATGATAGGTAGATAACCACAATTTTTCCAAAGATGAATAATGCTCCCATTTATTTATTATTATCGTTATATTTTAGTAATTTCATCTTGGTGAACAGTTTCATCAATAACTTTTTGATATATGGTGATTGAGGATTGTGGATTTAAAGTTGTGTTAAGCCTTTTAATAAGAACAGTGTGATTACCTTGATGACTTTTTTCTTTTTAATGTTACTCTATACTTTGTAATAAAAATGTCATTATGCATTTATTTTATTTAATTGCAACATTTGGCAAAGCTTTTGGACTTTTATATTTCCTTCAGTTTCAACCTTTATTCTATAAAGGACTCATATGTAATGTTCTTTTTCCAATCTCTAAGAGGAGAACTACTTAATTTTCATTGCCTATATTATAATTTGATTGTTTAATATGTTTTGAGTGACATTTAGAGTTCCAGAGTACTTGTATCTTCAAAATTTGAGCAATTATTTTTAGTTGTCAGATATATCATATATGTCTATTTTTAAAGAGTGATTTAAAGATGATTGAATTTAGGCCTATTAAGTCCTTGGCAAATCTGTATTGCTCTTACCATGTTACTTTTTTCAGTTTTTTTTTTTTTTTTTTGTCTTTTCAATTTAAATCTTTAAACTTCTTTTTTATTTCTTTCATTTGATACAATTATTTGCCATCCTTGAAATTTTATTGCAGAACATAATTCAACAATGCAACAATAGAGTAATCGTTTTTGATAATACCACCAGCAATATGATCAAGAGAGATGGACAAGTAAATGAGTTGCTCTCTCTTGTTGAATCTGCCATTGTGGACAATGGTGGAAAACCATACTCAGACAAGATTTTTACAAAACTGAAGGTATGTCGTCTCCTAGGTTCATACTTTACAATTGACAGCTATAGAGATATAAATGTTTGATACTTTATATTTGATATTGCTTCCATTAGGAAGGAGCTTTTCTTCGGCACGAAAATGTTAAAGAAGTTAAAACTAATGAAGGATGCTCTAAAGACGAGTTATCTGAACTTATGAAAGAGAACATTAGATCATATAATGATCAATTGAAGCATGTAATTGAGATGGTAAGCTTATTTAAGCTCTGAAGTTCTATTATTTTTATGTTTCCAAAGATCATAGTTGCACCAGTCTTAACTCAACTATGAGTTAAGTAGTGGAGTTTTATTTTTTGGTCTACATACAATACACCTCATGTAGTCTTAGTCATAGGTTGACCTTTGTGGTGAAGCATTGAAAGGGTTGAAAAGGGGGCAAAGAGTTTGTGAAAGTTATCCAATAGTTGTGTTTATTTCATTAGGAGCATTTTAAATATTTTATTATATTTGGGTTGCCTTTCATTTGTCATTATAAGAAGGGGAGCAGTGTTTTATATCTTAGTCATTAAGGTTGAAATATGATTAAATGTGTACTTTAAAAACTTGAACATTAAAGATAAATAGCATTTAAGAGTTATGCACTCATTTTTTAATTTATTTTTTAGAGTTACATGGCTATTATAGTATAATGAAGGAGACTCCTAGATATAAAGGTAGGTTGCTATGGTAGTAATATTGTTTTAGGATAGTGATTGGATTTTCCAGAAGTTGAGGGAGAGAGAGTAGTTCTCTAGCTGTAATGGTTGAAGGTTAGTTCTAATCTTTTTCTTCAGTGATTGTTAGGTCGGTGGGAGATTATTTATGTTGTTAAGGATGATGTCTTCGAGATCTAGTTGTGTTTTGTTGCAGGAATAGCATCATCATTAGATTTAATGGTGGATAGGTACTTGTTCATTGTTTGATATTTCGTGTGGATGCTATGTAATCGTTCTTCAATTGGAGAAGATGAGAACAATTGATAGATTGAAGTCATTTCTCAATGGTTGTCCATACTTTGTGTCAACTGTTGGGATTGAGAATGTACGAGAGGTGAGTGGTGACATGAACCTAATATAATTAAGGTCACAACTAAGTTCTAATTGATGAGAATCCATGGTTGGAAGCAGCAAGTCGTCAGCATGGAGTAGATGATAGGGAGGACGAAGAGTTGTTTTTGTGAGATTGCATTAAAATATACTAGCGTGAAAGATTTTGAGGAATTATGATCACTATGTGAGATGGCTTTATGGAGTGAATTGGTGGTGAATTATGCTCTTAATGTTAGACCTTAATAACTTTAAATATGATAGAATGTGAGTGTTAATAGTGAGAGGGAGAGGTCACCTCAATTCCTGAGGTGTTGGTTTGCTAATTGTCTTTGTGATTTTTATTTATGAATGAGGAGAGAGGTTTGATGAAGGGAGGTAGGTGGGAGAGTTAGACAATTACCGTTCAGAAGAGCACTTTGATATCATGTTAAAATGTATAGTCTTGAATAAACTTGCACAGGAAAGATGAAGAAGATAAAGTGAAAGTTAAAGTAGTTGTAAGCAATTCATTCATTATTCGATGCATTAATAATCGCTATAGGGCTATTTATTTATATGAAGGGGACTGTTATGTAAAGGATATTGATTACTGTGGCAACAATATTGTTTCACGCTAGTGGTTAGGAGTTTCCCATTGGTTACATGAGAGGGGTTAGGATAAGAAAATAATAAAGGTGTAGAAACCATGAGGTCAAAATATGCAAGTCCTCTATTGATTGAGCTAGAATTAAGGATGGTGGCCGCTGATACACTACTGAAGCTGTATTAATTAAAATGCTAGCAGTCATACCCCATATCAAATACTTTTGATCATCAGCTTTATAATCAAAGAAATGTATAAGATACTTGGCCCCCATCCACTCCCGCTCCTCTGCTCTCCTGTTCTCATCCTGTTCCCATTGAAAAAAAGATAGGAAAATATGAGTTATTTGACTTTGAGATATAGGTTTTGTTTGAGAAGAAATTATTATGTGCGAACACCGGATGGTCCGGAGACCAACCAGAACACGCTACATCACCTGGTACACATAGTACCGAGCACCGGTACCAAACAAAATAGTGACGTGGCATGTTCTTGTTGGTCTCTGGACACCATCTGGGATCTGCATAGAATATTTTTTCTTATTTGTTGGAGACAGTTCTTTTACTGCTTCATATAACAGTTTTCTAGCACAATTTTTTTCTAAAACAATAAAAAAGCAATGGCCAAAACAAAATCGTGGATTTAGGGTTCAGGAAGTTTTTTTTAAATATTGTTATAAATTTGTTGTGGGGAAAGAAATTTTTTGAAAAAAATTATAAAAACAGTTTCTAAACACAGAAGGCTTTTGAAAAAAAAAGAAAAAAAAAAGTATTTAAATAGAAATTGTGGTTATAATCTTTTTTTTTTTTTTTGGGAAATTTTGGGGCCATGGCCCAATTTTTTTGATGAATAAAAGATTACAAAAACACAAAGAGTTCAACAACAAAAACTACCATACATAAGCATAAAACAAAAAACTTATGTAGGGACAAGAAAACACCTCAAAGATATAAAACCAACAAAAGTCAAAGGAAATACAATGTTGACAATCCAAAAGAAACTCTTCTAACCAAACACCACATTCAAAACAATTTTTATAAAACCAGTGTGAAACTTCATCAGCATCGTGAGACTCCAGAGCTCCGAACCGGCCCAAGAGCAGAAGAAACCATCCAGATTGCACTGCTAATATAAATCCAGTTCCAATATACATTCAAAATTTTGATTAAACCATTGTGAAACTGCAACAGCATCACGAGACTTCAGAGGTCCGATCCGGTCAAATAGCAGAAGAAACCATCCAGATTACACTAAAGCAGTGATTCCTGAAAAGACAGAGAAAAAAAAACAGAGAGAGCAAGACACTGCAGGATACAGTTTCAATTGAGAATCATACAGCACCTGATAATATTAATCCTGCTCCAGTATACATTCAAAAATTTTGATTAAACCAGTAAGAAACTGCATCAGCATCACGAGACTCCAGAGCTCCAAACCGGGCAAAGAGCAGAAAAAACCAACCAGATTTCACTATTAAAATTAATCCAGCTCCAATATACATTTAACCAGGACTCAGAGAGATAATAGAGGACCGAAAGATGATTCCCCTGGTTGCCCAAAGACCTTCCAAGGGGAAAGAATATGTTGTAATAGGAGCTTCATCATTGTCCTGGTTAAAGAACCAGCCCACCAGCAACCTTCAGGTAAAAAGGGTCTTTGTGATTAAAATTTCTCCAGCTGCTCATCAAAGATTCTCCATTTACAAGCTCTGCTAACAACCACTTTTTTCACATGATACTTTAGAGAAGAGGCACTTCGAACATCACTACCAAATCTCCTATTATTTCTCTCCCTCCAGGTATGGTAGATTAATGTGCAAACCACCAATAGGTAGAAAATCAAAGTGTTTGGAGATCCAGAAAATTCAATTTTCATCTAATGAAACAATTGCAAAATAGTAGGCCGTAACAAGAAATTCTTACTACCAGGAATAATAGAGCTGAGGATTGTAAAGGAGTAAGGGCAGTCAAAAAAGATATGATTTATAGTTTCAGGTGCTGAGAAACACAGAGAGCAATCCACCGGAACATTAATGTTCCTCAACCTTAAGGCATCTTGTGTTTTCAAACCCCCAACCAAAGCAAGCCACACATAAACCGAATGTTTAAGCATTCCCTTTTTGTGCCAAACAAAATTGTGCCAATTCTTATCAGGTAAATCAGAGTAAAAATCCTTGATATAGTCTCTAAATTTAGGATGAGCACAGTCCTTCCAAAGCAAACAAGGACCCTCATTCTCATGAATTTTAAAGTTGCTAACAGCATTTTTCAAAATCTGAGGAGTATTGATGTTAAAAACCCAGTTATTATTGGCTATATAATTCCTTAGATAAGGAAAAATGAAGCTATCCAGGGATATACCACCCACATATTCAGCCAGGGTAGTATTACAGCACCAGTGATCCCAACGCACAGAAATTGGTGCATTAGGGGTAATCACAAATTTGAAATTCCTCTTTATACTTGCAGCAGTCTTACAGACATTTTTCCAGAATTTACTGTCCTTATGAGCAGTGGGTTTCCAAGGCGATGTGTAATGAGCCAATAACCAGGTGGAAAGAGGCGACGGACAATTATACATACGCTGGATTACAGAGCAGTTAAAAGCATGTTGAATGACAGCTATAGAAGGAATACCCAATCCTCCTTTCTGTTTTGGCAAGCAGACATTATCCCAAGAAACCATTTGTAGTTTTTTAAGGCTGGTAATGCCCCCAAAAAACAGAAATTTGGAACAAGTTTTTCTAAAAAACTTAAAAATGGTTTTAGGTATAATAGAACCTCTAATCCAATAGGCAATGGTGTTCTGAATGGTAAATTTTAAATACTGTAATCTACCAGCAAAAGATAATAAATTAGCCTTCCACCCGGTGAATTTTTTGTGCAGTTTATCCATCAGATGCATAAAATCCTCAACTTTTAATCTAGTAAAAGAAATGGGAATGCCAAGATAAGTTAACTTAGTGCTAACATTCATAATAGAGAGAGCTTGACAAAGCATTTCTTGATTTCTTTGACTCTTAGAGAACATGATAGAGCATTTATCATAATTAATATGAAGCCCAGATGCATTTGCAAACTCTTTAAGAACAGAAGAGAGGATATTACAGTTTTCAATAGTAGCATCACCCAAAATTAACACATCATCCGCATACAGAAGGTGAGAGAGGTGATAGTTATCAGTTTTGAAACCTTTAAAACCTCTTTCATCAAGTAAATTGGACAAAGCATCCATAACGATGCAAAAAAGGTAAGGGCTAAGGAGACACCCTTGCCTAAGACCAGCTGAAGAGGAGAAGTACCCTTCCAGTGCACCATCAATGATAACAGAGAAGTTAACTTTAGTGATACACGCCTTAATCCAGTTAATAAAAGACTTAGGAAACCCTTTATGATGCATACGAGCCAAAAGAAATTCTCTAGAAACAGTGTCGAAGGCTTTTTTGATATCTAATTTAGCACAAAAAATGTTGCCAGCCCCACCCTTATTGACCAAAGAGAGAATATCATTGGCCAGAAGAATACTATCAGTCGAAATTCTTGCCTTAACAAATCCAGCTTGAGTTTCTTTGACTATGAGGGGCATTATAGGTTTCATTCTACCAGCAATTATCTTGGCTATAATTTTATAAAGGGTGTTGCAAAGAGAGATGGGCCTAT